AATTATTTGTGGTTTCTGTGATAGATAGATAGATAGATAGATAGATAGATAGATAGATAGATAGATAGATAGATAGATAGATAGATAGATAGATAGATACCGAGTATAAATTTCCACCTACCACACAGAGGATTTCACCCGGCCACAAATTAACACTGAACTAAAAAGGCCTTTAAAGTGCATTAAATCAATATATATACAATACAATATATATACATCTACATATACATATATATGATGATTTATTGACTTATTGTGGAACTCACTAATGCATCCACCTGTGTGAATGTCAAGTGCCAAACTCATCCACGTAAGAATATGACGGACACGATGCTGTTTAGTGATGAGAGTGTAGTGAAACACTCTCTGTGTACGGGAAGCTCTTAACCTTCAGTGCTTCTAAATGATATTGCACATAACCATGAATGTATTTGATTGGTTGTTGTTTTGTTTCCGTGGAGAATTTGACTTATATTCTCACCAGACAACATGTTCAGAAGAAGTTCTGTCACGCCACAAAAGCTGTTCAGCAGCTTTAATGCAAAAATCTAAGCTATAGAAACGACAGTAGTTGAAGTGCTGGACTCTGCAGACTGTAGGAGGGTAAACTGAGTTTAGCAGCTTGGCCCTCGTCTGCATCCTTGTGTACGAGGTGTGATTCATTCTCAGCGTGTCCCTGCAGCTGAAACCTCTGATCCTATCATTTATTTAGCCCCCCCCCCCGCCACTGCACACTTCCTAGGTAAACACCTTTGTACAACACTCAGCTTTTATACATTTATAAGCTTCAAATGAGTAAACCCGCGGGGCACATGCTGGCAAATGTCAGAGCTGCCGCAGTCTCAGGTCAACACTTGTGTCCTGTGGCGGCAGAGAGGAGGAAGACAGAAGAGACTGATGAAACAAAAAGAAAGAGGGCGGAAAAGGAGAATGAAATCAAGGCAAAAGAGCAGATGCGATGATTGTGTGAGTGTCGCTGTCGTCTCGCGCACTGATGGTCCCTGGAGGGTTGTAGAGATGAAGTGCTCTGAGTCGCGGCGGCATCTGTTCGCCGCTGCTGCTCAGAAAACCCGCCGGAGATTCGCAGTGTGACACGCGCAGCTCGTGGTGGAATTACACTGTGAAAACATACAACCACTTACCATGGAAACCACAGAGAGATTCAGAGGAGGAGAGAGAGAGAGAGAGAGAGAGACTCCAATTCTTGACCTTTGACCTCCAGAATCTAATCAGTTCATTATTCAATCCAAGTGTTTTTGCCAAATCTGAACAAATTTCCTCGAGGTGGTCTTCAGATAGCAACATTTAAGAGGCCAAGAACCGTGTTTTGTGAGGTCATCGTGACCCTTAACCTTTGACTTTTGGCCACCAAAATCTAATCAGCTCATCCTTGAATCCAAGTTAATGTTTGTGCCAAATCTGAAGAAGTTCCGCCAAGGCGTTACTGAGATATGGCGTCCATGAGAACATACGTACAAATGGATAAACAACATGAAGAACTCACTAAAGTTCGACTTGTTTTCTTCATAATTAAATATTCAGTGTAAAAATCGCTCTGAGATGGTGTTTGCTACGGACATGTTTGCTCCATGCTTTGTGATAAAGAACCACAAGAAACCACAAATACATCTTCTGATGGATCAACAGGAAAATATGGAGCTTCGATATAAAAATATGAATCGGTGAAGCCTTTAAGTTGCCTTTGATTTAATGCTGTGAATTAGAGAGTGACTTACCTCTGCTGGAGTGAGATCTCTGATGGAGTTAAAAGTAATAATAGCAGTCTCCTTGCAGAACTACGCTTCTCCAGTGACCCAGTTGCCAGGAATCTATAACTTCCTCATGCCAGAAAATCTTGTTTCCTTTTCCTCCATCAGTTGTGTATATTTAATGTAATATATCCATAATGTGGATGGGGAAAGTTTAAATGAGGAGGATTGCAGCTGAGGCCTTGAACTGTCAACAAACCTTCCCTAAATAGCTGAAGCTCACAAAATGCAAATCCGTCCTGGGGAAACAGTCTGCAGTAAGTGCACAACACGCACAGTATAACCAGTATAACCCCGAGCACACAGTGCAGCACTTATCACACACACACACACACACACACACACAGATTTCCAAGGCTAAGTGACCTGCATGCGCTCAGCTTTGAATGACATAAGTACCTGAGTAGCCTTGGGTTCTGCACCCAACCTGAACACAGTTATATGGCAGCTAATGGTGATGCAGGCTGCATCCACGGTCATCAATCAGACCTCACAGGTAATGTCTACCAACTCAGTCCTCTTACATCAGCCAGGATAAAGGCCTCTATTAAGAAAATGAATAATACCACAGGAGGAAGAGGTGACCTCAGACTGGTCATGTGTCACCAAGGCTGAGGCGTGATTGGCTGCTTTTAGTTTGTATCCGCGCTACCGAGGAGGCGGAGCGGCGCTTGACGGATGCTCGAGGCCGAGGCGAGATGGGCTACAGAGTCCGTTTCACTCCTGTGATCTAATCTGTTACCCATCGTGCATCCTGCTTCACTAATGAAAAGGCAAGGTCCCATCCGTTACAGGCAGCTATGTTAAATGGAATTTTAACCCCCTACCTCCCCCCTAAGTGCAAAAGGCCCTGGATGATGGACGATCATTGCAAAACACCCCAGAGCTATGGAAAATTAATATGAAGAAGGGAAAAAGAAAAATTGGTGAAGACTCCAGCTTCCTACAGACGCTCCTCTCCTTCCTGTCACTCTGCAGCTGAGCTCAGCCTCCGTCTCTGTGCACCGACACTCTCCAGGAGGATCCACGCCGTCTTCGTCATCCCTCTCCTTCACACCCAGAGCTCCAGGAGCGTCACCCCACGTGGATTAATGCTGCTTTAGATGAAGAAGGCTAACATAACAGCCACAGAGAGGATTGTATCATATTGTGTTGGCCTTGTGTTTCTAAATCGGAGGCATCACACTGATTGAACAGTATTCACTAGAACTGTGCTCACAGGGAAATATTACAAAGGCCTGAACACCACAATAGCTTGTTTTACAGCCGCACTGTGAATGAGGCTCATCATTTTCATTATGTGCCTGAAAAATATCTAAAATTGTTGTTTTCTGCTGCTAAAAAGACACCGCTCATCCCGTGTTACACTTCCTGCGGCAGCAACCACAGATCACAACACACTCTGCATGAAACATAACAAAGACAAAAATGTGAGAAAATGCAAATGAGTTGCTAATTGTTTTTCTGCAACGTATTTAGATGAATAATAATAAATGGTTAAAACAACAGTAAACAACTCAAAATACATGTTAATAATACATTTCCATTTTTTGTTCTTAATACTCAACACATTTTACTATTAGAAATGATGGTTGCTTTGGCAGGTTCAAGTCTATTGATAATATCACAAATAGCTATGATAATAATAATAATAATAATAATATAGATATAAAAGAGGGAGATTTAAAGAATGAAATAAAAATATATATCATCATATATTTGTCATATAACAAAAGTAAGGGACACAGACATGTTGAAGACCCCCCTCCAATGAAAATCAAGCGTTTAACCTTGTTAACGTCCTCATGATGTTTTTATATAATACAGACACATGATGATGAAATAATCATCAACACCGTGACTGAGTGTTTCCACCTTGAGCTGCAGTGAACCAATGACTCATAGAAACAGATTCAGGGTTTAATACGTCACAGACCTGAGGAACCAATCCTGACGACTTGTGGGGACAGGGGGGCGGGGTTAAATATACCTGAAACCTTGTCGGTACAGAGAGAGAGAGAATTAGCATTAGTACAACCGCTAACACTGTGTCAGCCACTGCCAGTTACAAGCTAACAAACAACATAAACAAATAAAAGATGCTAACTATGCTAAAGGTTCTGACCCGTCTGCTAGTCTCTGGTTCTGGTCTCAGACTCCTCCTCTGAGTCTGGGTCTGACTGAGGCTCAAACATGAGGCTGAGTCTCTCTGATGGTTCCTCCTCTCACCATCTTCATGCTGTCTGCTCTCTCACCTGTCCACCTGGAGCAGGCAGGTGGTGGTGGGCGGGGCTCAAGGCCTGATCCAGGTTTCTCAGTCAGGAAGTGAGAGGAGACGAGCTTCAGACCCAGTTTTTGATTTATTTATTTTTTCACTTTTTATGTGTAAAAACCGCGTTAAACAAAATATTAATCATAGCAGAGGATTCTTACAGAGTTTAAAGAGGAACTTTAAAAAGTTGAGAATTTTACCATGTCGGCTTCATAAGTCTACCTTACTGAATATTTATGAAATAAAGACATTCAAGACATTCAAAATTTTTTTACCAGTGTTGAAAATGTGGTTATGATGGCCAGATTATTTTAATTTTATTTATTTTAGGAATGTAAGAGTTGAAACTTCATCTCCTGAGCGTGATGTGAAGCTCAGTGCCTCAAACTCCTCTGAATGCAGCGCTCGTCCATCGTCACAGCGGTTGATGTAGCTCCATGTTTTCAGCTCTTTCATCCTTTTAGCACCAAATATTGAATGAGGCCATGCGGCTTAGATGCATTACTTCACTGTTGTACCACTGAAATACAATGAAAGCGTTCTTTTGAAAGAGCAGTGGCTTTGGTCTTCCACAGAAGCTCAATGTCACCTTGTCAGGTTCAGATGTGGTGCTCTACACCCACAGCTGCACCAAAGTCCTCAGTTATTCCTCGGTACCGCACCAGCAACCTCACTGTTTGATACCCTGAGGTCTGTCACTCTCTGTTCCCACCAGTGCTCTGTGTGTGAGCTTAGATCCGGTATTTGAAGCTCTGTAGAGCTCCCAGCAGGGACACACCGCCTCTCTCCCCTCTCAGCCTTAACGGCAACTGTTCAGCAGACTCTCGTCAGACTGACATTTCAATGGTGCTTGACCAGATGTTGTAGAGACTAGGTGGCCTCAGATGATTAGAAGCAAAATGAGGTTAACGTCACGTAACGTCGTCTTTTCATGAACGCCTCCCATTCTGTCTCCACAGGGCTTTTTCCGCCGAAGCATCCAGAAGAACATGGTGTACACGTGTCACCGGGAGAAGAACTGCATCATCAACAAGGTGACGAGGAACCGCTGTCAGTACTGTCGCCTGCAGAAGTGCTTTGCAGTGGGAATGTCCAAAGAGTGTGAGTACACAGGCGACTGATGTGAAATGTTCTCATGGGTTTGAAAGGAACAGGTTGGTGTCGCCTGGTTTCTGAGGCTTTTCCACCTGGACCTTGACATCATTTTCTGGAGTCAGTGATTTTTTTAAATAATTTTTTACATTTAAAATGACAATTTTTATTTGGAATAACAGTAAAAAAAAAAAAAAAAAAAACTAGAATCACCTCCTCGCGGTTGTATCCCTCCCCCACAGACTAGTTTCAGGTTACATCCCTGTTTATCCAGAGTCAGAGAAAATATGAACCATTTGTGTGAAAGTTTGTCCTAATTGCTGTGAAGTTTTCATCCTTGAGTCCAAGTGAATGTTGGTTTCACGTTTGAAGAAGTTCCATCAAGGCGTTGCTGAGATATCACGTCCACAAGAATGAGACGGACAACCTGAAAACAATATACCTCCGCCTCTGGCTGTCGCTGGTGCAGAGGCATAAAAAGCAGCTTCATTAATTTTGACTCATAACTAGTTGCTGTCTTCACATTTTAATCTTTTCTAAGTAAATGAAAGTGTCTCTTCTTGGCTGAACTAAAGGCCCCATACACCCACCCTGGTGTTTTCACCTGCGGCTGATCAGACCTCCGCTCAGGTTGGATTTGGGTGGAGCTATAACAGGTGTAAGGAAAGAGACAGAAGGAGGTGTGTTTACATTAACATCCATAATTAATTAATTAATCAATCTGAACAAGTCACGGCGCCTGCATAGACTGTAAATAAAGATGGATGTTGCCTCTGTGACGTCACACACAGGTTTCTGAAGAGCGGTTTTGAAGCTGAGCTGCTCCACCGTTGCCATCTTGGCAGTGCCTGACTCCGCCCCTAACTTCTGGCTTATCCAAAATAGGAAAAGAGGTTGAGCTGAGACTTCAGTGCATGCTGGTTTGTGTCAAGCATACGCTCACCCACCTGTCACTCAATTCTCCATAACTTTAGTCCTTAATAAAATGTAAACAGGTGAGTTATATAAACAGGTGTCATGAAGGTGGAAATTAGCTCTAGAGACCAAAACAGTTTCTGTACCAGGCTGTAAACATGTTTATTTCTGCTGTAAAGTTGGACATTTTAACATGGGAGTCTATGGGGACTGACTCACTGTTGGAGCCAGACTCTAGTGGCCATTAGAGGAACTGCAGTATCAGGGAGCCCATTCAGCCCGGGGCTCTATTCTAACAGCTGATATGTCTGGTGTTGTATTTACGGCCGTACTGTCCAGTCTGAACTGAACTCTCTCTGGAGCTACTAACATGTGCAGAGACAAGGGACAAGAAGAGTTTAATGTGCCGGTTGTTCTGTTTCATGTCTTGTTCTACGAATCATCAGAATTAATTGATCCTCTGTTTACTACATGATTCACTGGCTGTAGGTGATGGTGTCTCCAGATGGGTTTTTGGTGTCAGTCAAAGTTAGTTCAGACACTAATACAGAGCAGAAACATGAGCTATCTAATCTAATCTATAAAGCAAGAATCTGTGTGTGTGTGTGTGTGTGTGTGTGTGTGTGTGTGTGTGTGTGTGTGTGTGTTTCTGTTTCTGTTTCTGTTTCTGTTTCTGTTTCTGTTTCTGTAAGTAAGTAAAGAAACAACACTCTGAGTTTGGGACGGTTCAGATCCACTTCAGGACGATTAAAACCGTCTTTCCGGACGGTTCTGAGCGGTGATGGTGAAAAAAAGGTCTTGTTCTTGCTTTTTACCTTCTGCTGCTGTGGATTCCTCCGTGTTCCCGCTCGTCCATTGTCATCAATAGGAAGAGTTTGCATTTCACAGGTTATTGGCATCCTTTGATTGCATCAGCATTTATGGCTCAGGCCCCAATTCATGGTCCATTAGCTCCATGCTCCTTTCTCTTATGCTGTTTCACACCTCAGCAGAGGAGTCATGGAAAAGATGATGTCTTGATATCCTCAGGCTCACCCCCCCACCGGGCCGCTGATGAGAAAGGGGGCTATTTTCTATTCTATATTCATGGTTGGAGGTGATGTGGTGTCGTTCACTCTCTGCTCTGATCGCCTACTCCAGGGGATCCAACCGACTGGATGTTGTGCTCACTGTTGGACGTTAGGGTTAACAATTCTGTCACACGTCTTTCAGCAACCACAGATGTGTAAGCTATGGTATTATTATTATTATTATTATACTGTAGTAGAGAAAGTAATGTCACCTGAAGAATTGCTCAAGTTAGATGTCAAAAAGTGACACGGCAAGAAGGTCAGTTTGTTTCCAGTTTTCAAGGAAATCCAGCGACTTTTTTAGTTTTTAGTTTTTCTTTTCTTTTCTTTCAAATGTTTATTTATTGAGTTTCAATTTGAAATGGTACAAATAAAGCAACATAAGGCACCAAGCTGACAAGAGATAATCACATGCATCCAATTTAAATCTGCACACATCTGCAAATTAAACCAATAATGACAATGACCAACATTAATGTATATGGAGATTGTTCAATTCAATTCAATCATAATACAAAGTAAATAACACAATAATAACAGAATAGATTGTTAATACTTACTTACTCAGAGAGTTTCAGATGAAGCCAAAAAGGACAGTAAATATTCCCATACCCAATAAAAATGTATCTACTGGCTTTTGAGTGGAACGGCTGAGGGAGGACTAGTATTTTGAATATGTAAACTAAGCATGTTGTGTAAAGGACTGTAGCATTAAAACTATGCCATGCAAGAAACATCTTGACTGAATGTGATCTGGGGTTTTGCAGAATCAGCTGTACACCAGTGTTGGTTGTGACGCTACGGTCGGAGCCTGTGGAAGGTCGTCTTGTGCTGCCTAAATAGAAATATCTCGACCTCTGACCCTGATGATCCTCGGCACCACCATGAGGTTCATGTCTCCACAGAGTCCTCATGTCTTTTTCATCCGACGTCACCAGTAGTTTTCACTTTGTCCAGTACTTTGGTTTCTGACTCTGGTTTCTGCAGAGCTGATGACATTTTCATCAACTTGCATCAGCTGTGTGTCTCTGGATGCACATCAATGAGTCTAATATTGATTTTCTTTTTAAAAATCTGAGTCGGAGTTTGATGCCAATAAGCATATTTGCCAAAAACCATTTAGTCTTGTCGGTGTGGATAAAGCCTCTTAACTCGCAGACAATCTTATCGCGTCTAAGCTGCATATGTGGCGCCCAAACCCCCCCTCCTGTTCCAATGTCATATTTTCACAACGCACGTTTCCCATCTGACAACACCCCCTCCCACCCCCCACTCCCCTGCACCATTAGGACCATTTGCTTAGACTCGCAGCTCTGGCGGCAGCAAAGACTTATCATCGTTCCTCGACACCCACCTGGTTAGCGTTAGAGAGCTGCCGTGTTAAGTGCTGTGGCGAGCGGCCCTGGCGTGACCACGTGGGCTCCAGATAGATGGTGTTTATTTACCGCTGCATCTGTTTGTGTGCAGAGACAGAGTGCAGAGCTTGGCAGCACGCAGATGGTCGGCTGGTGGCTTCTTAACAACGGCCGTCATCCATGCTCGCTGCCCCTGAACCACACAACATCCAGAGTAGAGGGGGAAAAAACGCCACGCTGCACAGAGAGACTGGAAGCAGCTGTGAACAGACAAATAGAGAGGAGGACAAAAGACAGAGGGTGGGACATTAGTGTTTTACTAAAGGAGGGGGAGATGAGTGTCTTGGAAAACGAAGGGATGGGGAGTACGACAGTAGGCATCGCTGTGAAGACTCTATTTGCCAGCGTGTCTGATTTCCACTCACTTCATCTCTTGGCCTAACACTCTGGAGAGCACTTCAGAAACACTCAACCACCGCTCATTCACAGTGTTCACTCAGACTGACGGAGAGGCTGGAGGGTTTCACCCAGAGAGCACAACACACAATACAACACACAACACACACTACAATACAACACACAACGAACAACACACACCACACAACACACACCACAAAATACAACACACAATGAACAACACATACCTCCAGCAAATGCTTAAACCACAGCTTTTATTTTTGGATTGGAATCAGATGGTTTGTGCTTTTCATCCCATGACCCCCCCATTTTAAATATCACCAGAGTCTCAGTGACCTATATTTCCAGCAGTAAAGCTGCAGAGAGGTTCTGTTTATCTGTAAACACTGTATCTGAACTTGCATTGGAAGACTTAGTCAGGAGCAGTTAATTACACTGTGGCAGTAATGTGGATGTGGGACTATGAGGGAATATTAGATTATGTTTTATCAACCATTATCATGATGTAACTTCAAATTCATATTATTTCATCAGGGGGAAAAAAACAGAAAATTCATGCGCACCAATAATATATACCAGTGGTTCCCAACCTGTGGGCTGGGGCCCACTGGTGGGTCGCAAAGGTATTGCAAGTGGGCTGACAAATCGTTTGCAAAATGACAAACAATTTTGATGAAAAAAAAAATAAATAAAAATAATAATAATAATAATAATAATAATAATATGAATATGGATCAGCTGGTTAGAAACAGGAAGAGTTAAAAAGGAAAGATGGCGAATCGACAAGTGACACTGTCCGTGGTGCTGAAGTAAGAGACGCATTTATACAAACTCATAAAGACAATATCAGGAGTCTCTCAGTCCACTTTAAGACACATATTGTTCAAAATGTTCAGAGTGACCTGGGTTTCCTGAACAAGTGACGTAGCCATTGTTAGAGTTTAATGTTGCTTAGCGACCTTTGAATCTCTATGGCAACACATTGGAATGTCGTAGCCGTCGCTTCAACCGTCGCTGCTTAAAGTCCCTTTTGTCTCTCTTTAAACTACGTCACCGACACTTTTCCCTTTGCTCCTGCCATAATTACTACGAACACTAGATGTCGCCTAGCAACAAAACCTAACTATGGGTCATAATAACCTGCTGCATGGGCGACCAACAGGCTTTTTCCTTCAGGAGGATCATCTGAATTAAAACTTTACAGAGTTGTCCAACCCTGTCTCGTCGTTAGGACTACAGTAATTATAAGTTTCTGGGTAGGATTGTGTTTCATCATCTCAAATGAACCTGAAACAACACCCCCACACCAGCGCAGCCTCGTGCGCTGTTTTCACCCCCGAGAAGTGATCAAATTCAACATCAAAGTGCAGGAACTTTCCATGTGGAAGTCAGGAGCAGTGATCACAGCCACTACATTATGATGAGAGTCCCCGCACTGGACTTTTGTGGTTATTAAAAAGCCATATATTTTAATGGCTTCTTGTCTGATGCATCATTTTGATGTGTCTGCTCACACTTGCAGTAATTTGCTTTGGAGTGCACTGGTAATTGATTGCCCTGTGTGAGTAATGGGGGGGGTAGCCACTCGCCACATCGCTGTCTTCCTGAATCACATCTTGTGGCTCACCGGCGTGTGTGAGGACCACAACCCCCTCGCCAGACAGATTCTCACTACACTGTGACATATCACATACACACACATTTGAACAGATTGAAGACCAGCCCCGCCTTTATATACTATTATTCTGCAACCCTCCCCCCCCCCCCCCCCCCACCCCTCTGCCATGGGGCAATGTGTTTTTGTATGGTGTGTGTGTGTGTACGTGTTTATGAACCGCTCACACCACCAGCTGACTGACTGTCCTCTCTCAGAGAAGCCACTTAGCACTGACAGCATTTCAACACAATCAGCCAGAGCCTCCAGAGCTCGGCTGCTGCTCTTTTAGACGGCACACTACAGTCAGTGGGAGCGATATATCAGTCGGGTTGGATGAGGAAGAATCGGGTTATACTCAAATACGACTCCAATATAAGTGAAAGTTGTTCAGTTACATTTTTACTACTGGAGTACTTGATTTTAAAAACTTCTTAAATATTTAAAATATTTTTCAATATAGTCAATATATTGTACCCTTGTAACTTTATTTATACAGCACTTTTCAAAAGAAAGAGATAGTGTTGTACAAACATAAAAACAAAACAAGGCAATAAAAGACACAGAGAGGCAAAGTGTCAATTAGCAAGGCAAGTCTGACAGGGAGAATTATAAATATGTGTGAAAACCCTGAAATAGATAAAGCGGACAAAAGAAAATCAAACCAAAAGTAGAAGCCAAAGATAAAAGCATTAAAATCAAGAATTAAAAGCTGCTTTATACAAGTATGTTTTGAGTCGTGTTTTAAACTGAGGCATCGACTCAGCACGTAAATCATTTGACCAATCGCAGCATAGAAACAGCAGCTACGACAAACTGTCTGTTAATCTGGAATTAAATAAACACACAGAAACACAACAAACATTTAGAACCAAAGGAATCTTTATTTTTAATAAAGCTACATAGACAACATTAGCATTAGCAGATGTTTGTGTTTATACGTTGTGTTTATAATACAAGAGGTTATAATACGTCCTGTGAGCAGCTACGTCTTCAGGACAGACCGCAGTGACTCGGTATTAGAAAATGTCGACACAGGCTAACGGCTTAGCATGGTTAGCATGCTATCTTCAGAAGAAGAGAAGACATGATAGAGACAAGAGCTAACACTGGTGTTTCTTTCCACCTCAGAGACTGGCAAATGTATCGGAACGGTTAGCATAGTTAGCATCTTTTACCTGTTTATGTTGTTTGTTAGCTTGTAACTGGCACAGTGTTAGTGGTTGTGCTAATGCTAACTCTCTCTGTACTAACAAGGGTTTTGCGTTTGCAAAACTGGAAAGAAACTGTGAAAATGGAGCTGAAAACCACAGAAATCAAAGAGCAGCGGGACTCACAGCTGTTCAGAAAAATCCACAAGGACAGGATGTTTCAAAGCTGCGAGCCCCGAGGTCAAGACGACCAAAAACCAGGACTGTAATGAGCTACACGTGTTACAAACAATTCACTTCACTTCCCTTTTAAAAATCATGTAATTATGCTCTGACTCATGATGATTTTACTTAAGGAGCTTGAAAAAGTTGTAGCCTCGCGTCCCATACTTTAATGTTGCAGCTCTTTACAGTTTGTAAATATTGAGCCAGAATCACATGACAAGACTTCATATATGTTTTAATCTTATACCCCAAACAACTGACAGCAACTGACTCTTCTCCCTCTACAGTGTTCCTCTCATGATGCGTCAGTGCCACAAATATTACAGACATTATTCCAGCCTGTCACAGCTACAATACATCACCTTTCCAGGTTTCAAAATATGAATATGTAAAACAATGAGAGCTGAGGAGAGGTTTCGTAAGCTTTGCCATGTTTTCTCTTGTTCAAGTCGGCCACTGTTGGCAATATATATATATATATATATTTCTCTATTTGTAGATCTGCTTTAAAGGTTTCCATCCCTGGCTTTAGTGTGTGAATATAAAGGGGTTTTATTGTAAACTAGGGCAGAGGATGTGACTGTTGTTTTGTCAGCCAACGAAGGTCCCTTGGGTGTCTCAGCACTGACAATGTGCCCAGCTCTTCCTCTCCAGCTCCGCTCTTGATTATCTTTAGGGGGGGGCTGACCAGAGACTTGTGATGTTGGGATGATCATGCTGTGTGTTAAGTAATGAACCTGATTGGTTTGTTTGAACCTCCTGCTGTGACGGAGTTGGAAGATCTGCACCTCATGCAAACCAGCAGCCTGGTGCTGTGTTGAGGCTCCTGCCTGTTCTGCACCTGTTTATTTAAAGCATTTTACATAGTTTATTATTCAATTTATTTAATTCCCCCGTGGTGAAGGCCCAGCTGCCATAATCCATAATCCATATGAGAGCAGATATACATGCTAACAAATCCAGCCACTCTCAAAGTCCCTGATAACTTCTTTTCTCAATCATATTATTGTATTTGGTCCTTCATTACAAAATGAATTCTACCAGTTTGAATAGTCTTGGTTTTGTCCTTGTGTTTTCATCCTTGCTGTCCTCATTAGTTTGATGTTTGAGTTGCATTGATGAGATCATAAAAAAAAACATCTATTTTTGACTATTTATTCCTGTTGCTAAAACATGTTCACATTGTGCCGCTCTGCAGCATCTGGACAACAAGGTTGTTCTCAGAGACAGAATGAGCCCACAGGTCATCTGTGCGGCAGGTTATTATGACCCGTAGTTACGTTCTGTTGCTAGGCGACACCTAGTGGTCGTAGTGATTATGACAGGAGCGAAGGGAAACGTGTTGGTGATGTAGATTAAAGAGAGACGAAGTCCACGTCAGGAGGAGGTGGTGGTGGATGGATGAGTGTGACACAGCAGAGCCGTGTGTTCGATTCCCATGTTGTTTCTATTATGCATGACCCGTTTGACAAAGTTAACCACGTTGTTATGGTTGTAACCATGGCAACAAAGATCATCTAATCATCTTAATGTTGAGGAAGCAACTTATTTTAACCCAAATCACCGTCTTTTCCCGAACCACTCCGTGACCCTCGACTGTTATTATTATAGTAACCATGGCGCCGAAGGTAGGTACGCCACTCTCCGTTACAGTCGGCATGTTTATTATTGTAACCATGACAACCAAGGTCCGGGAAACCTGCTGCTGTATGGGCGCTATTTCAGTAGACACTCCCACAGGTCGTATCAGAGGGTTAGAAAAAAACCACCTTTCCGTTGCGTTGCATTACGTTACGTTTACGTTAACGGTCACGTATGATGTTGCCAAATTGGAGAAATCTCTCTTTTCCTTGGTGGATCCATCACAAATACAAGCCACTCACAGGAACAATGTCAGAGTTATAGACCGAGATCTTACGTAGTGTCAAATTTCACTCCGTAAAAGTCTGAAAATATTAATATTTTACATTCACCACAATCTTAAAAGGATTTGAAGGTCAGTTGCTCGTCATGCCAAATGTTCCTCTGATGATGTGCATGTTCCACCTGCGCTGCCCAGCTGCATTTTTGATTTGAATTGCATTATAAGAAATATACTGAGAACTTTTCTTTTCAAACCAAACCGACACTCAGCGTCTCATTACTCTGCTTGTCTGACCTCAACTCACTCCGGATGAGCCACCGAAGAAAAAAAAATCACCAAACCGTCTGTAAGAGGAAACGAATAGAAATGTGAAATTAATTTAAACTGGCCGCACAAATCACACAATCCATTTGTGAAGCACTTACAGCCACATTTGTTTTCTGCCTTTTTTTGAGACTTTGCCAGCGGCGCTGAGCTGACAGAGACCGGATCAGCTGACAGAACAGTCTGCAGCTCCAAACTTTCTGTCCTTATATAAGGTCTCACTTCAGAACTCCACAACTTGCTGCATCTGTAAAAAGTAAACTTCTGTTCTTCCTCCTCGTGTCCCTCCAACACATTTCCACATTTGCTACAACGATCATCCATTTGCAAACCTTCATTGTTGACGCTAATCCTAATCCTTTGTTCTCCTTCAGCTGTTCGAAATGACCGGAATAAGAAGAAGAAAGAGAGCCCAAAGCCGGACCTGGCAGAGAGCTACGAGCTGACAGCCGAGCTGGAGAGCATCATTGAAAAGATTCGTAAGGCCCATCAAGAAACCTTCCCCTCCCTCTGCCAGCTTGGCAAATACACCACGGTGAGTTTACTGTCCTACATCTCTATGGTGGATCAATCAAAGTGCTCCGCTTTCTAAATCATAAACATAACAGAGCTACTCTTTCTTTGATCCTTTGCCTCTGTGTTGGCCAGAAACACAGTTTGCCTCTTTGATTCAATCTTGTAAACTAGGCCCCGAGTGCAGAGCTCATAATGATAATCAATCTCTTGTACTGTACTCCAAATCCCCGTCTAATGCAGCTCCCGAGCTCAGATGTAGACTCCACTAACTGTCCAGGCAGGTCCTCCCCCCTTAATATCAAGATTATAGTGACCGAAATGATCACGGTTATCAGTGTTATTGAGGTATTTTGTTCAAATGGTCTGAAATGTTCAAAAAGTAAAAAGTTTTATCACAGAAACCACAAATAAATAATGAGCAGCACTTTTTTATTTGTATTTAGTAGCAGCACTTGGTTTGCCTGCTGCATGCTCACTCTGTTAACAAGGGAATAGCAAATGTATTATAATTATTATTACAGTTGTTAGTATTATTTTCTTTGTAGCACAAACACTGTAAACACACCTGTCACCTGACCAGCTGTTAAACCATGAAAGAGTGAAGCTGCAGCCCTGAAATAAGTTTCAAAAACACACGGTCACAGATCGAAGCGTCTCGCTCGGCGGCTCTGACACTTTCACACAAGCAACAACCTGAGGAAAAGACCTGACAGACCCGTTTCACCATGGTAATAAACAGTTATCGTGGTAATTAAAATGTAAACAGTAATACTAACCGTCTGGCATCTTGACTGAGATTTAGAGAGGAAGTGGAAAGCTTTACTTTGACATTAAGTGTGACAGAAAGACAGTAACAGTCTTGCATCATAATACCACGGTAAAACTAACATATGATCCCGCAGGCTGCCTCTGCTCAGGCAGATCTGAGAATGTAGTAGCATTTGTTTACCCCAGTTTTCAGATTTCCCCTCTCACTGTTGAAACATGTAAAAAGATTTGTTGAGGATGGAAGACGCTGCAGCTTCCAACATCAAACCCTCCTCAGGGAAACGCTCGTCGAGTCAGGCAGACGCCGACTCCTGCCTCTAGTTTTTGACACGTCTGAAAAGCAGAATAGACGCGGCTAATTCACTTCGCATCATCATCTGCTTTTGTAAAACCAAGAGACAGATTAATGCGACTAACGTGAGTGTCATGAATGCTCGTCAGGGTTTGGGAGCCCCCCCCCCCCCCCAGCAGAAGTCAAGGTTGAGAGTCCTGTGCTGTCCTTGAACCCTCTAAACCAACAACTCACAAAAGACCAGAGAGTGAGGGAATGCTAATCCACACAGGGCACTGGAGAAGGATTGCCCTTTGCTGTCCAGTCTCAGAGCGTCCGACCCCGTGTGGAGGCGACCGTACGCTCCCCTCATCTGAGTGACAGCGAGGGACGGGTGCGCTCGTCAGGACTCGGTGCAAAAGTTCGAGGTCGTACAAACCTCCAGAGCGAGTTCCAGCACGTACTTGACACCGGTAAAACCTTCACTCAGCCGAGTTCTTGTGATGCTTTGTCAGACGGAGGGTTGGAGTTGCGGGTCGCTCTGCAGCGAGTGGAGGAAGCAGGGCTGTGATTGACAGCTAGGCATGGCAGCTGACAGCGTCTAATGCGTTTGTTTTTAAGTTGACTTACATATAGATTACAGTCGGCGGGAGAGAGCCGTGATTGACAGAGAAGCGACACAAACACACTCGTTGGAGGGGGGGTTGGTGTCTGACACCTGTCAATCTTGTAAAATACTGTTTCTACTGTAATAAACAAATCTTCTGAGCAGCTATAATGTGCAGTAATGTCTCTGATGAAAATCATTCAGTCACTGACAATGAGCTTCAGAGCGGAGCCGGTAAGAGACGCTAAAGAGAGTAAATTGACACACAGTGCAGCTATTAGCTCTCCGCTGTGAGCAGCTGTACACTGCTGCTGCTGTTATTTCAATGTACAGTAAAGTTTCCGTCTCCCTCTCTCTCTCTCTCTCTCTCTCTTTTTCCTCCTTTTCAGTCCAAACACAAAGCTGCTAATCGCTGTAACCCTTCTCTACTCCGCCCACAACCCATTCAGTCTCCCACGAGACACTTCCTGATTTTACAAAATAATCAGTCTGTATTGAAGCAAAAAGCACAGCTGAAAATAGTAGGACATTACAGCAAAAATATTGCTCCCTGGTTATGATATTAGCCAGTGTTTGCTGTTTGCTGGAGTGGCAGTCGGGCCTCAGATAAAGCCTTAATCTGGATCAGTGGTAATTATGCTTGCTCGCAGACTGTGAGAAGTTCCTTATTATTAGCGATTGGATCCTGATGCGCCTTTTGAGTCGTCCTCACTGGAAACAGAAGAGAAGCTCCTGCGCCCCTAGATTAGGTTAAAGCTCCAATTATGTGGTGAAATATTTAAATCCTAGTCTGCAGTGATTTAGGAGTTCATTGCTGGGTTAGCAGAGATAGCTGCGCGAGTGAGAGGGCTTAGCTCGACAATGAATAATGCTTCATTGACAGTGATGGCGATGAAAAATGAGCCTGGCAGTTTCAAAGACAAAATAAAACATTAGCGCTCGGTGGGGCCCGGCGGCTCCGGGCGGCAGCTGCTGCTGTGCAGCACGCGGCCCCGGCCTGGAGATATTAGCCACATTACAGTTTGTCCGCCATCGCTATCCGTCACAGGTGCCGGCTGCTTTCACCGCCTTTTTCCCTTTCTGCCTCTGTGCACACGAGCCGGCTGATCTCCACACCGACAGCCTCTCCTCTGATGTCGCAACTTCTCCAATTTGTTTGGTTAAATGTTCTTAAATGAAATTAGAATTCCCCGGCAACTTCCTTGTTTCGCTGTATTGAATTATGGGACTGGTGTAATTGACTGAAATTGCAGGGGGAGGTGGTGGTAGTGGGGGGGGGGTCTCACCCAACCCCCTCCTCCCTCCCCTGCTCCCCCTTTTTCCTTCCCAGCCAGAGGGAAGAGCAAGATAAGTTGCTTTAATATCAGCCACCTCCAACCCCCCCCAACATGTGTGCATTGTGCAAACACACACTCCCCCTCTCTCTCTCTCTCTCTCTCTCACACACACACACACACACACACACACACACACACACACACACGTCTGGGCTCCTCCATCCCCATCAAATCAGACGTCAATCAGTGGAATGTGCATCCGTAGAGCTGTTGTGTCGACCGCAGCTCGTTGTCTGTGATTTAAGCACAGACCTAATGTGCTTCTCACTTAACCCCAGATCATATTTAATGATCTCTCTCTCACTCTCTCTCTCTGCTGCTCTCTCTCCCCCTTTATCTCCCTCTCTCTCTCGGGTGGCCACACAATAGATTGTTTGCTGGTGACAGTGTCCAGCAGCCACGGTGCTAACTGCCTCACAGTAACAACCTCAGGGGGGATTGATGAGCCGCTCTGGCTGTCTTCACAGTCACTTCAGTGGGGGGGGGGGGGCTGCAGCTCCCGGGCCTGGGCTCAGACTGATGTTAAAGTTTGCCAACATATTGAGTACATTTTGGATTCTCAGTGAAGGATGTCATAATAGTCTGTCAGTTTTTTTCCACTTCGTTCTTTCCTCCTCGGCAGCTTCAGGGGAGTCGGTCTGTAAAACCTGCCTCACCTTCCTCCACATCATCAGTCTGAGGGAAGAGGAGAGCAGTTTGCTGTCCACAAATCAGCTCTGGATGAATCTCTGTAGAATTTATTGGTTATTTCTGGGAAATCTGGGGGTTTTAGTGACTGAATTTCACGTGTGCAAATGGAGCGACTCACCTGTTCAACCTTGTGATCATGGGTTTATTCCTCAGCTGATTCTAGTATTTTACCACTTTTAGATAAATAAAGAATTCTAAATTTTATTCCTGGATATCGGGATTAGAGAGTTTATTTAAAACTTAACTGAATGATTCAATATTAAAAATTCACATAATTGTGGCGTGGAGTGGCGCAGTGGGTTGAGCCGGCGCCCCATGTGTAGAGGCCACAGTCCTCGCTGCAGTCGGCCCTGGTTCGAATCCCGCATCGGACGGCCCTTTACTGCATGTCATTCCCCCTCTCTCTGCCTCCCCATTTCCTGTCTCTCTCTACTATCCTGTCCAATAAAGGCACAAAAGCCCCAAAAAAAATACTTAAAAAAAAAAAATCAAATAATTAGAAGAAATAATAAAAAGAAAATTACAAAAACTGATGAACCGATTACTTACTAGTATAAATGAAAAATTACAATATTTTCTAATGACAGAATCAGTGTGCAGCTTGAGAACATGGAATTAGATACAATTATTGTTATTATTATAATTATTAGTTGTAGTTAGAGCTGCACCATATGCAGTTATTTTAAGAGATCTTGAGATGCTTTCACATTTTCCCTGAGAAATGTCGATATGATTTTTGCTGGGATCACGAGCTTGTCCCATCACGTCACTCATTTGGATTTGGACAATAATTGTTGAATTTGTTTTCGGGAGGTGAAACACGTCTGTTACTGTCTGATGTTAACGCTGTAGAAACTGGGATGTTCCAGTTTAAAATGTGGAAACAGCGACTCGTTGTCTGGGCTTCTCTGTCCAACCTGCACCGTAGATTTAGTGAAGGTCGTCCGTCCCCGGTACGATGGGTGTCGTGTGCTGTCGCCTCCTCCTCTGTGAGTATGTGCTGTGTGTCCTCGCTCCCTGTAGAACAGATGGGCTTTTTCCGTGTAAACCATCAGGAAACAAAACGGCCATCAGATGCTCCGTCTCCACCAGCACATCGCAGCTTTCCTCTTCTCCACCCAAACATTTCTCCAACTGCTGCTCACTCTCCTCTCTGTCTCACTCTGCTTTTCATACCACCCTCCGCTCCGGTGCCCTCCCTCTCTTTCCTGCTTTGTCTTTTGAAATTCTTCGTAACTAAACACTTTGTTCAACCGTTGCAGAATCACCACTTAGGATGCTCCTTTTATCCCGTGTCTCAGACAAACTGCTGATAACGACGAGGCTGAAGAAGAAAGAGGAGCATCGCTCTGGTATAAGAGAAGCTGGAGAAGGACAGGCAGAGACAGAGCTTCTTGAACAAGTTTCTAACAAGTAAAGAGGAATGCTGACGGTTATTTTTTGGAAGTATTAGAAGGATTCGACTCAAAACTGTGTCCTTATCGACGTAAAACAGAATATAGACGAGAGTTTTGGCTGCCCGAATAAAAGGAGAGTTCTAGTTCCAAACATCTTTTGTACAGAATTATATCCACTAAGTTATTAGCAGAGATCTGGAAACACAGTGGCATCGAGGGGAAAGAAACAATCAGGAAACAAGAGCCAAACCCCAAACCCTGTCCGTCCTGCAGCCTCTAAGACCCGACCTAACCCGAGACCTGAGGCTGCGTTTTTATTATTCTTCCTTCAAAGGCAGAGTGATGTGATGTGTGCCCCACAGGGTGTTCTCCAGGAGGCATCCCAACCAAATTTAATCAAGTTCACTTATGAAGAAAAAACATAAGGTATCTGCCTCCGCTGTAAAAAAGTACAGGTGTTCTCATTCTTGTGAGAAATGAGCTATTCAAGCCATGACAGTGAGGAGGTGAGCCAGCATGTGCAATACCAGGACTCTGAACTGAAACAGCTAAATGGAATTCAGCCTTCATTCATTTAATGACTTACACCTCTGGGCGGCGCCGGTGGCTCACCTGTAGGAGCGCGTACCGTTTAGACTCAGTCCGAAACTCTGTCTCAAAAATGCCCCAAAAACACAAACTTGAATCTGACCTTTAGTAACCTTTGGGGTTAGAGCAGCAGAACCTTTGAACCCCAGTCGCAGTTTGTAGAAGGACTTCCTGCCCTACTTACCACAATAACAGCTGCTCCAGTGTAAAGGTCTGTGTCCATGTGTAGTGTGATTATAGATCAGGTCTAGCTTCTATATTAATACTGTGAAAGTATCAAAGCCTCAGTCCACAGAGAAATGCACACAGCCTGTATTCAGAAACTGAGCCTTAAAACCAGCCGTCAGGACTTCTGGAACTTTGTGATGTCACAACAAAGCAGTCACCAAGCCCCGCCCACCTGGACCCACCATCCAAACCTTGCAGGATTTGGTTTCTCTGAGTGTTTTTAACCTGAAATCTGCTTTATTTTTATTGGATCAGAGCCTCCTCTCTTCTGATTGGCTCACCGACCTGTTGTTACTAGAGCTGCAGAGAGAAGCCTGAGAGAGGAGATGTAAAACTACACTGAGATGGTTTTTATATCTTCTGATGGATCAACACTTCAAATTAAAACACAGAAGAAGAAGAAAATATGGAGCTTTAAGGTTTATAGCAACATTTCAGGTGCTCTCACTTTCAGATACATCCAGATAAAATAGTTTAGATAATCAGTGGCGTGTTTATAACCTGTTTATGTTATAATCATCTTCTCAGATCTCAATCATCACCTTTGTAAGTGTCTTCTTCTCCCTGCTGATAGAAATAATGACCCAAACTATGCAAATAAGACTCAGGCTGTAATAAACTGGTAATAAAACGATGCATCAATCTCACCTGAGCTTACACATCAACGAATTCATGCAACAGCGTCTCTCCCCTCTCCTCTCCCACAGCGCCTCACTGCTCACTCGTACTTAATTGTCCTCGTTTTCATCTGTCATTTCCTCTCTTTCTCTTCTCTCTCTTCCGGCTCATTGCGATCAGCTGTGTCTTTATTGTTCCCCCGGCTTTCACCCATCCCGCTCCCCTCTGCTGTTTGTTTAGGTTCTGGACAGTATAGGTGTGTTAATGGCACCTCTGGCTTCAAACCGCTCTGCGCTACCTGTCACAGCTCTGTTTCTGCATCCCATCATTGCCAAAGCGTCCCACTGACACCGCGGCGCTCATTACCGCAGGGCCCGGCCGCCCGGCTCGGCTCGGCTCAGGGTTTTCACAACTACAATCCTGCCGGTGTTTCTGAGAGCTCAGGTCTTGTGGAGCTTATTTACTGTATGTAACTGTGACACATATGGAGCAGAGTGAAGAGGCTGCACTGAGGAGATCATTAGCAGCAGTCTGTGCAATGACAAAAGTAGCTGCCTCTTCGCCTGACGCCTTGTTCTGTGTGTGTCGGTGTGTTTCGGTGTGTGTGTGTGTGTGTGTGTGTGTGTGTGTGTGTGTGTGTGTGTGTGTGTGTTTCAGAACTCGAGTGCAGACCACCGTGTGAGGCTGGACCTGGGCCTGTGGGACAAATTCAGCGAGCTGGCCACCAAGTGCATTATCAAGATCGTGGAATTTGCCAAACGAGTGCCTGGCTTCACGGGGCTGACCATCGCCGACCAGATCACGCTCCTGAAAGCTGCCTGCCTGGACATTTTGGTGGGTGTTAACGCTTTTATTTTGGAGGAACAAAGTGTTAAAAATGTAAATATGATTCATTTCAAAAGTTTAACTGCCGGACACAAGATGACTCCTGCTTACTCCGGTCCCAGCGTACATCCGTCCATCACCTTCTCTTTGGTCCAAACATTCACTTGGACTCAAGAATGAACTCTGACCTCTCGCCCGCCCCGTCTCCGTGAACAGCAGAACAGCTGTTTGAGCAGAAAAAAGCTCCGATAAACCCACAACACACCACCTGCTACAGACACAGTTAACAACCAGCTCATGAACATAGTGGAGCTTTTAGCAGCTAAACAGTCAGATGTTTCCCTCCGGACTTGGACAGAGAAACAAAACAAACAAAAAAAAAACTAAGAGCAGAAACACTCAGATTCAGAAAAATACACATCTCCAAACTAGAATTACCTCCTTGTGGTCGTATGTTCCCGCCAACCAGTCAAGTTGCAGGAAATATGGTCAAGATGACCTTTAAACATTTTATAAAGAAAGTGGAAAGTTCTCTCTGCAGCCTGGCGTCTGCGTCTTTAAAAGACATGAACTATAACAGAGGAAGTGACATACAGGATCATCTGCATTTTGGTGAGGACATGCAAAATCTATGATTAATGCATGAAGATGCATATTAATGTCAGGTGTGAATGCAAAGCAGCTAAATAACATCCAGACATATCCTGGATAAATGAATGCTGATGAACGTGAGGAACAGTTTGGACTGTATTTGTTATTCAGTTTAGTTTCCGCAGCTCAGCCGTGTTAATAAATGGATTTTGGAGTTTTTATTGACTAAGTCGTACTTGTCAGATGTGACAAAGCTGCGGAGCGGCAGTGAACTCCCAGGGACACAGAGGTGAGAAGTTGAAGGCCAGCTGTGATGACTTTCTGGCTCCCACTCAGCCATCAGCATCCGTTCACCAGCACATTTCTATGGTGAAGGGCATGGATATTGTGCACAGAGGCTGGGTTAGGGAGTGTCAGAGTAAAGATCAAACACTGTGTGTGTGTGTGTGTGTGTGTGTGTGTGTGTGTGTGTGTGTGTGTGTGTGTGTGTAAGCGCAGGCCTGGCCAGCCGGTGTGAGTACCACCAGTAGCCATGTTTTATTCTGTTTCATGTTGCAGACACGCCTGCCACTCACTGTCAGAAGCATCCCACTCAAATAGCTTCAAAGGCTACTGTAGGCTTCACATCCACCGTCAGTTGCTTCATTAGGTGTTCACACACACACACACACACACACACACACACACACACAGACACATGCAGTGCAGCAGGGAGACCCAAAGGTTATTTTCTTTGAATGTGTGGAAGGTCGTTGTTTTGGCCGTGCTTGTTGTCTCTGCTGCTGTTTATGGGAAACTTGTTACACCTGGTTCACACACACAGTCTCATTCTAGACTCCTGAAGGAGACTCGATGTCAAGAAGACACAGTGAGACGGTTACATCATCCTGCTCATATAATGTATGAAACTCCTGACTCTCATTCCAGAGCCAGACTGTGAGAGAAGGTTGTTACTCTTAGTTACATGTGGGTTTGTTTTGTTCTTATTAAAGGTTTTTAACGAGGAGATTTTAACAATAAAACAGCAGCAAACAAGTATGTAAAGATAAAGCGTTGTCATGGCGTCCTGAGCAAAGAACAAAGTGAGTGTTGCTGCATTTGAGTCCCTCCTGTTAAACCGTTGTGTTGATACCAGCTCCATCAGTGTCTTCACCGGCTCCATCAGTGTCATTCCTGCCTGTGGCTGCAGCCAAACTGAGGTCGGATGTGCGGCCGACGACTGGTGGGCAGCAGAACAAGCAGACATCATATGACATATTATAACCTCATACATTTGTTCCACATTTGGAGGCGTGTCTCTTCTCACTTGACAAATTTACATTCAGCATTTGATCCTTTTAGCTCCTGATAAAATATCTGGCTCTTTACCTGCTAATTGGAACACTATGCTTTCCAAGAGCTAGTTTTTACCTTAGTGTGGCAGCTGTTTGGTGCTGGACAGGTAGTGTACAGTGGGTTCATCACAGCTCTTTCACTGAGAACAGCTGCCCGCGGCTGCTGGAGGTCAGTAAGAGCCACTTCATGAGCCGTAAAACCAAAACAGTGCTAAAAAGCTCTGTGGAGCTCAGTGCCTTTGCCAGAAATATGAATTTAGCTGATCCTGGGAGATCTGTAGATCAACCATAACAGTTTCTTACTCTTATTTTAAGATCTCATTAAAACGTTATTCAGAGTATGAGCCTGTTGTGTTGTGTCATGTGACAGTTTCAAGAAATAAGGTGGTGGAGGCGAGAGGCAAGATTATTTCTTCATTTAATGCTGTAGTGATTTCCCCAGTAACATTACAGCACAACTGTTGCATAAAAGCAATGACACAGCTGGAGTTGTGGTGACTGCATTGGTCTCCTCACTGAACATCTGCATCTTTTTAGGCTCTTTTCACAACGTCACGACACAAACGAACAAAGTGCCGCTTAAACTAAATAAGCATCATGTATCCAACAATACAGCAACGTATGAGATTTAAACAAGGTTCAGCTTCTTTTATAAGCTGTTGTGATTTAGTCATTTAGTCTGACATGCAGGGAGAGAGCTTTGTTTAGACACTTTAGCGTTATTAATTCAGTCCCTTAGCATAACGCTAGCTAACTAGCTTGCCGTGTCACTGACCGCTAATTGAATCGCATGAAGACAGAGTCTGCAACAACGCCATCCCGTCATTGCAAGTGATGGGGAAGTCTCTCTGTCTATTAGTCCTTTTTTAATCTTTTCCAATTAATTTCAACAGTGTCAATAATATGATGCTAACTCAGACGTTTGCTGTGATTATGCAGTGAGTGTGTCAGTGAGTGTGCGCAGGCTCACCTGGGCAACAACAACTTTAACATTATTAATCCAGAAATATTGAGCAGTGCCGCTTAGATTTGAATTGTTTTAATGTTGTGAGCGCCACAAAGCGAAACCTCAAAGATCTGGACAAAAGTATCAGGATGGTTAGATAACACTACAGGTGAGGGAGGTCCTACCGTTTTGTAATTTGGGCAAACTGACACTTTAACATTTATCAAATACTGCGAATAAAAACAACATAAACAAGCATAGATCTCACAGCATAGATCTCACAGCATAGATCTCACGGCATAGATCTCACGGCATAGATCTCACAGCATAGATCTCACAGTATAGATCTCACAGCATAGATCTCACAGCATAGATCTCACAGCATAGATCTTACAGCATAGATCTTATGAAAAGAAACTGATGCCAGTTCATCAGTTTTTCTCTAATTACTGCCACTAATACGACATTCTTAATAATTATAATTATAATTATAAAAGTAATGGGTTTATTAGTTTTCTTTTTAAATCAAAATTCATTTTCCACTTATAAAACCATCAATGAGAACGTATTTTGGATTGCCTAAAATACTGCTGACGGATCCTCTCTCTGTCTTCTCTCTCTCTCTCTCTCTCTCCCTGTCAGATCCTGCGCATCTGCACAAGGTACACCCCCGACCAGGACACCATGACCTTCTCGGACGGGCTGACCCTCAACCGGACGCAGATGCACAATGCAGGCTTTGGCCCACTCACTGACTTGGTGTTCACTTTTGCCAACCAGCTGCTGCCCATCGAGATGGACGACACGGAGACAGGCCTCCTCAGCGCCATCTGTCTCATCTCTGGAGGTGGGCAGAGAGCGCTGAGCATTTAGTGCAGGGGGGGGGGCAAGATAAGAATATAACTCGCAGAGAAAGTAAAGGACACAAAGCCCAGGTTTCTAAGCAACACCTGAAACGCATCGTCACCTGTTACATGTACTGTGTGTCATCGTTACAGCCTCCGTACAATACACAAAGACAATCAAACCGCCCCCACAGCAGTGAGAGATGATGTGGAGCGAGCAGGTCATTAACCCCACAGTGATGATGCAGAGTTCTGTACATTATCTCTTATTACTCTGCTACTTACTAAAGAAATCAATAATTCCCCACAAAATATTGATTTAATGATGATTTTATTGCTTCTGTTGAAGAAATCTTCCATTAGACTCCACGGTTGGAACTGCGTCCATAGCAACGCACGCTGTTTAGCTCTACCTTCTTAAGGTTAGTGTACTTAGCGTTATAATTCACTCTGAACTGAGCGTTTCCATTGGTGGTGAAGTGAGACTGAATATTGATTATTGACGGTTTCGTCCTCATTCATCTCTGTGTTTCCTTGTTGCTGGGGCTTTGCAGGTGACACGTTTGTAAAAAACTAAAAATATAAAATATACATTTCTTTATATGGGTCCTCATTTTCCTGGAGATTTACTATTTATTATATATATATGTATATATATTCTAATTTAAAGATATGGACAGAGTTGATTCTTGGAGGACATCAGGCAGAGTGAGTAAACTGAACCATGTTGGACACATGAGGTGGAGCTGCAGTTCATTCAGCCTCCACCTGTGTCTGAAACCAGGTGAACTTCACGATGCTTACCCCCCCTCCACATGCGCACACGCACACACACACACACACACACACACACACACACCCCACCCCAGAGGAAATGAGCCTGCTCTGCTTGTTTCCACCAAGATTCCAGAGGCATGACTAATGCCCTCATGTCAGGCTGCACACACATTAACACACAAGTCTCTGTCCTGTTCTCCCTCACACACACACACACACACACACACACACACACACACACACACACACACACTCAGGGTTTTTACAGTATGGCCACAGAAAGTTGCACAGCTTCAGTTCAAATTATCCCTCTCCCCACTCCCCGTCATTTTCATCAGCGCTCAGGCGTCGTCGCTGCTGGGGTTTTCATTCAACAATATATATTTATATGCTCATTCCCCAGAGCCTTGGCAAATATTACAGGCTCTTGCATAATCCATGGAAAGTGCGAGACACGTCTGATTGCATCTGTAATCACGCACCTTGACTGCGGGTCCGGCAGCTCCCGATTTCAGTGCACACACTGCCACCCTAAGGCCTAACGGTGGAGTGTGTGTTCAACAGCAGACTCAAAATGAAACGTAATCTTCAGTGTGTTACACTTTCGAAACAGACCGTTCAGATAGAAGTATAGATAGATAGATAATTGAGTCTACGTGCCAGAAATCACGCTCAGAAAATGTTCAAGTTCGTCGTGTGAAACAGAGAAAAGAAGCAAATCTTAATCTTCCTTATAGTGAGTTTCTGGATAAACCAGGTTCTAAACTTGAAGCTCGTCCGTGCACGTTTCCATACAGTGTGGTAAAGTGCCGGTGATCTGCTGACAGGGCGACACACGGCAGGAAACACAGCTGCAACGTTTAAACAATATATTTAGTTAATGAAAACATTACTGTTGTAATGGTTGGAAAAACAAAACCATACGGGCATTTGTACAAACGTGTAGAAATCATTTACCGTGTCCACTTCCTGTTCCTCTGTCAACACTCACCCACAATGCAGTGCAGTAAATGTGTGGCTACAGTGAGACACAATGCAGTAATATGTATTTTACCGTGATGAATGTGAAGTAGCTGTTAGATACACCTGTTCATACCTGCAGGTTTGAGTTAAGGACGCCGCTGTATGACATCATCAACACGTGTAGCCCTACTGTCATCGGAGACGGGGTTCTCTCCTTCCTCGTCCTCGTCCTCTCGGAACATGATAACACTGTAGAGACTCACTGATGCGGCTGAGATCTGCAGACGCTCAGCATCACTGCAAATAGCTCCAGTGGGGGGGGGGGGGGTAACAAACGGGAACCATTTGCCCCGCCAGTCCCGTGTTTGAGTCGTGACATCTCTTCAGTGAGTGTAGCATTATCTTAATGCAGCGTTGTTTTTCTTTAGAGCTTCTTAAAGGAGTGCAAAAGGGGGAAATCTGCAATCTGCTCCACTTTAATGTAACGAGGATCCACTTCATCGTTAGGACTGTTTGAAGATGATATTTGCATTATTGCCTTCAGGGTTGGAATCATGCAGAAGTTTAACATGCGACGCCCCCCCACCTTGAACACTTGTGTAATCTGCTGCAAATTATAATGTGATGAAAATAAAAATCAAGGTAGGTCTTTCCTCCACATCGCCGGCGGCTGAATATGATGTTCAGTATAATGAAGCCAAATAAAAGCCGTTAACATGAGGAGTACACAGGGAGTTAAAGGGAACTGCCAGCTCCAAAGTCCAAAACAGTTTTTGATGGGGGGGGGTTTGAGGTAGTGTCTCTATTCAGTCACCTTAATAATCACTAGTGTTCTCACATCTGATGATCAGTTTTGACTTTAAAAGCTCACAGTTATCAGAGCTGAACACTAGCAGCCAGAATAAAGGATTTAAATGAGCGTTATCTAATTGTAACCATCACTGCAATAACTCCGACATAATGAGATAAACTCTTCCTTCCTAATCAAACCCGGCTTCACGCTGTGATACATGTGTTAGCCTCTAGCTTGTCTACATCAGATAACGCAAAGACGCGGATTTGTCATAGTTGAGCCTCAAGACTGACTTCATTTCTGTGTGTGTGTGTGTGTGTGTGTGTGTGTGTGTGTGTGTGTGTGTGTGTGTGTCAGATCGTCAGGACCTGGAGGAGCCCTCGAAGGTGGACCAGCTCCAGGAGCCGCTCCTGGAAGCTCTGAAGATCTACGTGAGGAAGCGTCGACCCAGCAAACCACACATGTTCCCCAAAACCCTGATGAAGATCACAGACCTGCGCAGCATCAGTGCTAAAGGTGGGAAGGACATGTCGCCTCACTCTGGCGCCAGTATCAGGTTACTGCAGTTACAAGTAGCAGGATGACTCTGACAAAAGAGGCATCAAGCTTTACCTACAGAAAACGCTCCATTCACACATAAGGACTCCAACACCGGAGGCTGCTGTCAGTGTGAGTAGAACCACCGAACAACCTCCCGGCGCCAAAAGCCACGATTCAAGGCACAGACGTCTTGTTCCAATGCAACGTGGAGAACTTGGAAAAGGTTCAACTTTATGCAAATGTTCTCTGACGTGGGTCAGTAACAACCCGGAGACAGAGGCGGTTTTGTTGTTTGAGAGTGAATGTTGAACTCACATTTATCAGGTGGGCAGTTTGTAATTGTCAGATGCAGCACGACAGGTGACAAAGAACACGGGGAGAACATTACCTCGACTTTACGGTCTATAACCTGGTAACCTGTAAAACCTACTCATTTTGAATATGTATAGAATTGTTCACATTCTGGATTGACTCATACTGCACACAGCCTGTATTCAGAAACTGAGCCTTAAAACCAGCCGTCAGGACTTCTGGAACTTTGTGATGTCACAACAAAGCAGTCACCAAGCCCCGCCCACCTGGACCCACCATCCAAACCTTGCAGGATTTGGTTTCTCTGAGTGTTTTTACCTGAAATCTGCTATATTTTTATTGGATCACTCAGAAAACAGTCAGCCAATCAGAAGAGAGGCTCAGAGCCTCCTCTCTTCTGATTGGCTCACCGACCTGTTGTTACTAGAGCTCCAGAGAGAAGCCTGAGAGAGGAGATGTAAAACTACACTACGCAGCAGTGTGTGATCACAGCTGCTTCATTTTACCTCAACACTGCTAATGCTAATCTAAACCCAGCGTCCACTTACATCTGTCAGCTGCATCTGGTTGTTTTCATTGATGGATGGAGTTTGCTGAGTTGTCATGGAGATGGCTCAGTCATCATCACACAACAGTAGTTTTTAGTTAGTCTGTTAGTCAGGATATTTTAATCAACCTGCTACTTCAAGGTCAAGAAAGATCTTTCACGCTCCAATTTAGTGTCTTTTTTTTCTTTTTTTTTTAACCCTCGTCGTTGTCTTGCAGGAGCAGAGCGGGTCATCTCTCTGAAGATGGAGATCCCAGGTTCCATGCCACCGCTCATCCAGGAGATGCTGGAGAACTCGGAGGGCCAGGACAGCCAGAGCAGCAGCAGCAGCAGCAGCAGCAGCACTTCAGCTGAGGCAGGCACCAGCCCCAGCAGCAAGGGCAGCCCCAAAGAGGACACCCCTGCTGTGGAGTCGCCGGAGTCCGTGGACACTGAGGGGGCCACAGCCACACCGCCCAGCGACGACCCCTAGGAGGCACCCTCGGGTGCCTCTGAGACTTTCTCTGACATTTCTTTGCACAAAAAAAAGAACAGCCGGGCAAGACGTCGACCCCCTATAACCCCTCTGCCCCGACTCTTCGACGCTTGGTATTACCTTATCTTTATATCTTTCTTCTCCCATTCCCCTAAGATTCCCTCCTTAAAAAGAAAACATCAACACGGAGGCCTCAAAGGATCAGCGCTTTGTGTATAATTCTGAATTGAGCTCTTCTTCGGCATGGTGTCTCTGGGACTGGGACAGGAAAAGGCGTGGCCCTCGCAAACCGCCAGAGATGATACTCCTCAGGTCTCCTGTGTAACTTCTTATCTGCATGACGGGAGTTGGATAAGTGGTTTTACTCCTCTCTCTCTCTCTCTCTCTCTCTCTCTCTCTCTCTCTCTCTCTCTCTTTTACTCTGTCCTCATCTCTTTTCATCTCTAATATTGTTGGCATACATGCATTGTACATACCATTGTATGGTTAGATCTCTGTTTCTATGATGAATTTTGTGGTGCTTTTTTCATTGTCTTAAATATTATCTTTGAGGCGATACATCACGGTTTAAAGAGGGACTGATTGTAAGTCCTTCAAAAAGTTATCTAGAATGTTATTGCATATAGACATTATGGAAGTCTAATATTTTATATTTGTTCCTATATTTAAAACAGTTTTTGTCTTTTAAAACACTTATTAGTTCATGTGTCTACATGAATGAGTGTACATCCACACCGCCAGAATGCAAAGCTTCTCTCCATATCGACAGCCAAGTCTGTTCCACTGTTTTCTCAAAGGAGGGAAGCACAACAGCAAAAAGCCTTTTGACACACACTCATCAGATTGACCGCAGCTGTTTAACTTTTCAGTCTTGGCATGATCCGCAGAGACCCGGCGTACCAGATTAGATTTGGAATCAGCCTGTCGATGAAATTAACTCATTTGGTGGCTGTATCTCCTCAGAAAATCAGTTTACCTCACTGTCAAAATAAATTGGGGAAATTAGGTTGTTGATAGATACCAGAGGTTTTTCTGCAGCGGGCTGTGATCACGTAGGACACCCTATACTTCTGCCGGACCGTGATTCATCTTTAGCTGTGCGCCGTTACGAGCTTTCACAAGTTTAACAAATTTCTCCCCCTAAAAAAAATTAAGTTCCCTAACGTATCGCGCTTATTATTACTGGTCTGAAACCACGAGTGTCTGGCTTCACATTATGCTACTTCATATTCATCAACCTAATGTGCAGCAGCATGAGTTCACTGTTCAGAGGGAAAAATACAAGAACAGAAAGTGTCTCATTGCCAGTGAAACTAATTTATCAGAGAATTTAAAGGAATACAGATGTTAGCAACATCTGTATTCCTTTAAAGGAGACAACATTCTTCTCCTCACTTTAAAGGGAGTCTGTCCATCTTCAGGATAGTAGTAGTAGTTACAGGATAATGGTAAAACATCATGTAACAGAAACACAAATAGAAGAGTAATCAAGTCAGTCAGCTGACTCAGTAATGTCAGTTACACACAATATCGATCCAGTGTTAGCGAACAACAGCTAGCGTAAGACGCCATTAGCTAATGTTCACGCAAGAACGAGACTGTAGCAGCAAAATCCCGAGTGTACTGGACCTAGCAAGTTTTATTGCAGTTTAGCTTTTCATTTGTAACAGAACCAATGTGCTAATTCATCTTTCAGTTCACTCTCTCTTCCAAATAAATTTAGCTAACCAAACTCTTTGTTTAAAACCCGTGTGATCATCAGACTGTGGCTCTTTTTAAAGTTCCTCTCCAGATGTTTTAAACGTAGTAGACGTATCAGAACGGTTAGCGCAGTTAGCATCTTTTATTTGTTTGTGTTGTTTGTTAGCTTGTAACTGGCAGTGGCTGACACAGTGTTAGCGGTTGTGCTAATGCTAACTCTCGCTCTCTCTGTACTGACAAGGTTTCAGGTGTATTTAGCCCCGCCCCCCGTCCCCACAAGTCATCAGGATTGGTTCCTTAGGTTTGTGACATATGAAACCCTGGCTGTCTGTTTATGAGACTGTGATTGGTTCACTGCAGTTCAAGGTGGAAACACTCAGTCATGGTGTTGATGATTATTTCATCATCATGTGTCTGTGTTATATAAAAACATCATATGGACGTTAACGAGGTTAAAATCTTGATTTTCATATGAGGAGGTCTTTAACAATGTTGCAGAATTCCCTAATCTTAATTATATTTGCTATTACTGACAAGAATCATGCAAAACTACTAAAATAAGACTTGAGATTTAAGTATTGGAAGTAGTTCCTGCCGCTGCATGTGTTGGGTAAGATAACATTAAAACACTGTACTTATGAGTTAACTGCTAAGATCTTGGAACACTGCAACAATGCTAAAAGATAGGACAAGAAGCACAAACAATCATCTCATCAGACAGAGTTTAAACCAAACCTCTGGTTAGCCAAACTCATTTGGAAGAGAAAACTAAAGTTAAGTGTCGTATTATTACCCAAGTAATGATAAACCATAGTTTTCCTTTTCGCCTCTTTGTTGCCTTGTTCCCCTAAAGTCTCGCTTCCTCCGTTAACTAACTCGGATTTGCGCTGAAGCTTCCGCTCTGATTACAGCCAACGGCAGCTTTGACCTCTCCATTAAATTGCCTGAATGTCAACCTAATGAGTGTGTATCTGCCACCAACAGCATGAACTACCAAGGCTCTGCAAACACACACGGGCTCTGTTATGGCCTTATGAGCAGAGCTCCTCAACCCGCTTTTCTCTACCTTTTCAGAAGTGTCTTGTTTGAACCAGTGAAACACAGGGGCAATGCAATCCTTAAAACACTGATGACCGAGCTGCGTGGGTCGGGAAGATTGTACACTAAAGCACATGGTGGGGTGGTATCCACAAGCGTTCGCCTTAGACTTTAGACTTGACAGTGTAAGCTACATTTAATGATGCAAAAGGAGATCCCAGATGACCCTTCACTGCCCTGAGAGGTGCAGCTGAGTAAAGCTTCTCCGTGGACGATAGATGCAGCTGAGCTCTTAATCTCATAGGCGGGGAGGTGGGAGGTGTAGCGTATCAGATGAGGCAGTCTCGCTGAAATTAAAAGATGATCCTCGAAAGCTGCTTCTCTTCTCAGCTGATGTCACACATCATACTGAACAATGAGAATTAAACTCCATTATAGCCACTTACAGGACCCAGGTCCCTCACTACGCTGCTGTTCCCCGCTGCCTCAGTGGCTCCGTTCACTCTAATATCAAGTGATTGTTCACTCACAGCACAGGGGACAAACTAACTGTAGCACTTCAACATGTTGAACCCTGTGAAACATCGTAACAGCAGCGGCAGGGTCAAAGTTCAACTTTAAACCACTGAAGAATTAAAAATTATACATCATAATTAAATAGCTACGGAAATACTCTCACTCCTTTAGGAAGCAGGTGTAGATGACTACAGAACAGACAGTCTCGACTCAAGGCCCAGTTACTCCCTTGTTCTGGAGCTTTCAGCTATATCACATGGTCTTCTACCAATGTGCTTTTCAAAATCACTCCTCTACTGCTCCACAATAACCTTTTACCAGTTTAACTGGAGTGTTCAAATTCCCAGTGTAAAGTTTGTGCTCCAGATAGTTTCCCCAGTCTCCATGACATGTACACTAGTTCACATACACACAGCAAACATTACAGCCGTGTGACATTAAACATGTCACTGACACAAGAGGATGATGACTCAGACATGACTCATGTCTCCATTTGCTCCTTAATACAGACATATCTACTGACCATCTGTTATATGGGGAGGAGTGAAAGAGAGTCTGGACTTTAACTAGCGACGGTTGAAGTGACGGCTATGTGTACATTCCCATGTGTTGCCGTAGTGATGGAAATCAAAGACCGCTAAGCATTTCACTCTAATAATGGCTACTTTCCTTCTTCAGGAAACCGAGGTCGCTCTGACACTCTGACCTAGAGCTCTTGATATTTGCTTTAGAGACAATATAATATCAGATGATGAGGTTGAATAAATTCGTCTGTTACTTCAGCACCACGGACAGCGTCACGGTTAAACCTTGACCTTGCAAAGAGCAGATGATAAATGATTAAGTTTGATGATAAATACAAATACAAATTCAAAACCAAATATGACTTTGGCACCTGTTTTTTTTTTTTTTTTTTGGCACAAAAATACCCCCATACATATTAAGCTAAACACTGAACTCCATATGAAAGAGTTGCAGAGCGTCGGGCAGTGAAGGGTTCTGGGTCTCAGGAGCACATAATAAAAACCCATCTGCATTTCATCCCTGCCCAGAGATACATATCATAAGGGAAACCAGAGCTGTTCTTTTATTTTATTTTTTAAAATTAAATTTGTTTTGTTTTGTTTCGTTTTGTTTTACCGTGTTTGAATGTGAATAATGTCATGGAGTCCGTCAGAGGAATGATATGCAGTGTTAAGGAATATTTACTTCTATCTCAATGTACCATAGGAAATGCTCTCCCTTGATTTTCTGTCTTGCTCTCCTGGTGAGAGGCATCTAGATGTTTTTCTTTTCCTTATTTTTTCTTTTTTATTTTTTTTTGAAGCTGGAAAACCTTCACAGCCGAAGAATGTCCACATCCACCCCTGAAGTGTCCGGCCAGCCCTCAGGCGCTTGGACACAGCAGGAGCTGTTATCTGTTCCTTTAGGAAACAACTTCACAATGCTGAATTACTCTTGTTTGTTTCTGTTGAATGTTGTACCGACGTAACTGTAATACTCTACTATCTAGCTCACTGCAAAGGTGTTACATAAATGGTGTGTGCTTTGCATTTCATTTGGCAGCTCTGTGGAAAAGACGCTCTGTTATTTGTCCTTGGGAACTATCAACTACAAACATCTACATGTAAAAAAAAAAAAAAAAAAAAAAAAGGAGGAGGAACTGGAACTTGGTGGGCTGATCTGGGCATCCAGGTCCTACTTCACTCAACACACACATTTATGATTTGGGACAATGACAA